CTGGTGTACCTGCATTCTTCGCTGCAACAGATGTCCTAGCATTTTTAAATGATATTCTATAAATGAACGTTTCGATTGTGTGCATGATCCTGCAAGTTGCGGTGATAAAGGAGGCTCTCGGTGATACGCCGATTTCTGATCACGCTGCTGAGCACTGCCATACCTCGTCATCGACAGCGTAACGTCATCAGCGTAACGCTGCCATCGACAACTTTGTCCGCAGAAATTTGGTCGGCGACACAAAATGCATTTTTTACTACCCCTGCGTTATATTATGGCTTTGATTTTTCCCCTATGGCGTTAAACAGTGACTTTTCTCGAAGAGCACTTTGGCTTCGGGCAACGAAGCACCACATGGTCTATAGTGATGCAGTGGTTCAAACTTCGATCAATGCGCTTCTTCCTAACTCGTCACTGTCGCCTGCTGTGCCAATCAGAAGCGTGCATTTGTACTAAAGTCACTCACATCAATAGACGTCCTTCTTTTAAAAGTAGTGTTCCGCATTTGCATGGGGTTTTGAACAACCATCTTGAAAGTAATGCTACGTAGTTCGCAGTCCTGCCCTCTTTCAGACCTAAGCCACTCTAGTTTCTGTGCTACACATCCACAAAGATGTGAGGACTAATTCGGTGAGATTATATCAAGGTCACTTAGGTATCCATGGCGCTATAATACTGACACTCAAGCCCTGCCAACGGCATTTAAATCCCTATAGATGGTAATGTAATCCTAGTGTTGGGTTTATGGTCACTCCGTCTATGACACCAAAAAGAAATGGCGCCATTTCACGCTTTGGAACCTCGTACAGTTTTGATCACGTTTGTTACCATAATGTAGATACCAGGAACAGAATCAACGTTGCAATAGATGACAGCATTGTCTCAAGCTGCCTCCATTTAGTTGCTGTTGGACTCGGAGGGAGGCGCGCTCCCAGTTCGCCTTATTGCTGGTGAGATATTTGGCCATGTAAGACATCAGCTGGAACGTATTCAAATGATGTCGGGCTGTCTGACCAGTGCGGCGTCAGATTAGGTACCACTCACCCGGCTGTCTGACCGATGCGGTGTCATACTGGCACCACTTACCCGACTGGCTCACCGGTGTTGTGTCAGACTGTTGCCACTTACTCGGAAATGAGACGTCGATGCCGAGAGCTATGAGGGTCTCCAGAACGTCGGTAACGATGGCCTTCAGGCCGTCGGAAAGCCCAACGGTGTTGTGCTCCAGGGCCTCGACGTCGGCTACAAACTTGTCAAAGTTGGAGACGACCGCCTCCACCTGGTCCTTGGTCAAAGCCCATGATCGGTCCCAGGATCGGCAGGTACTTGTCCACCAGGGCCTCCATCTCCTCTAGGATCTTGTCAATAGGGCTGGGCTCCGCTGTAAATGGCGCACGTTTGAATATCTTGCATATATCATCAAAGTGACTCGTGTAGTTAGCACATATCCACAGTCCATGAACTGCACTTCCGAAAGGTATGAACGCCTCTGCTGCGGTGGATGGGTGGATGTAACGCTGCCCTGTTTCTCGGTTATGGAGAGTCTAATACTATCATACAGAGCGACCGAACAATCTTACATGACCTTGAACGACGCCAGGAGCTGAGGTCCCTTACTGCTTAATGTATCGCTCAAGGTCTGGTCAAGGTGCTGTCATTAAAGGGGCTGCATTTGTACCTTGCATGGCAAAAATGTCCACATTCCTTGGGGGTTTTGAATTAGAGTCGCCTGGGGTCACCAACTGGGGCCATCATGATTATTCCTTGCAGTTCACAGCCATGTCTTTCTCAACACTTCATATCTTCCTGTTTCTGAGCGTGATACCCGTGAACTCGCACTGGCCACTGCGCACCACCTATGACAATTTCACCCAGACATCTGGTCATACATGAACAACCCTCCTCATTAGCTGCGTTGTGCTGATGGTTAGCAACAAAATATGACCACTTGATCATAGTGGCCATGCAGCGACAAGTGTCCCAAGGACAAGTGGTCATTGGGTAGCACTCAGATTGCGCCGCTGACGTTGAACGGTGCTGGTACGTTGTTTAATTCGTTGAAAAATAGTGTATGTGTGCTGACTAGCCCCTCCGCATCATATTCCGGGTGCTTAGCCCATCTTCAACGCAGGACCCGCGTGATATCCTTCGCACGCTTTTGTTCCAAGCATTCAGTAGCTTGTCCGATGCAAATCGAGCAGCGGCAATAGCTTCATTGCGGGCCAAAGGTTGGAGAGGCAGACATGGGGGTTTCTAAAGGCTTCGGTACTTGGCCGGTGTGCAATGCGTTTCCGCAAAAGAACTGGTACGGCCAACTTTTTTCGTGGAAGCATAAAAATATCGAGCGATCAGACCATCACTTCAGGCGTAGGCAGGCATATCGTCTTGCTAACTCGGCTGTTTCTCCAGCGACGCCAGAGCTTGGAGTGAGGCAAATCGTAGCCAGTTTTTCCTTATCGCAGAATCCACCGATGGAATGTCCGATCCACCGGATGGCACGGATGGAAAATCCACCGAAAAATGAAGAGTGCATGGCGGCTTTAGCACTCGGGGAGGATCCCATGGGACCTAAACAGTCGCTTGATTATACAAAATGTATTCCTTCCATAGCCCAGCAGGTGCCGGCGTGAAGGTCACGCTGCCATCACATGCGTACATGTTGCTCGCTTGTCATCATCGCCGCTTTCCCTCTGCATCTAGGTCAAGTAACCATCAGTCTGTCTTGCTCGTCCTGTGACTAGTCAACTGCGAGGAGCCCCTTGAAGTCTTTTGCGATCCTCACAATATCCTGAGCCACCGCCAACAGCCCGGGGAGCAGCGCGGTCGTCTTGTGTTCCACGGCCTCCACGTCGACCACCAAATGGTGGACGTCATTCTCGGTGGCGACCACGGCCGCGTCGTCCAGCGGAAGCACCTGACTGAGCGCGTTCAGAACGAAGTCGAACGCGTGCTCCAAGGCCTCCAGCAGGCCGTCCAAGTCCTGCTTCCCACCTGGAGGCACGTAGCACATTCAAGTGCGGCAGTGTGGTTACACTCCCCGATGCCACTTGCCCTCGCCAAATATGAGTTGAATAAGCATACATAATTTCGATTCTTTAACATGCGTCTTTCATCAACATCTCCATTTTGAAATATTTAATGATACGCGTCAGTTCATTTTTTCATTCATTTCATTCATCACATCATTCATCAGTCAGACATGATCACACATGATCAGTCAGTTCATTCAGACGTCAGATATTCAATGAACGAGAGATGTCAGCGAAAGAACGCAGTCGTACAGGCAAACCCAATCCAAATCTGCGCTGTTTGTCTGTGCGCATTGAAATACGAAATTGTTCACGATCGTGAAAACGTATTCTGTCAGAAACAAGTTAACAAATTATTGGCTAGATATAAAGCCAATAATTATATAATGCATGTCAATCAATATTGCAAAACTTCGGTTAACATTCAAAACCCTAGCTCAGTTATGTATGGGCTGTATGACATCCCACACTGTATCATGTATGACATGCTACACTGTATCATGTATGACATCCCGCACTGAATTTACCCATAATTTCAGATTGTTTGGTTTCCGGACCGGGAGCCTCACGAGACCGGGACCAACAGACCTAGTGGTCTTCTATAATTCCGGATCACCAAAGGATAAGATAAGGTAAAGTCTACCACCGTGAAATATGCATAAAACACCACATCAGATCCTTAGTATGCCAATGCATCCAGCACACGTGGCATTTGGCGCAGGAGCACTTCAACGCAGGAGACTGCAGCGTGTAGGACACAAGCTGAGGGCAAGTGCTGAAAGTACGAATGACATTCATTCTTTTAATTGTATTCATAGCGGGTTAAACTACTCAGTTCATCAGTGATGCGAGTTCTCACATTGTCTAAGCATTGGATGACCCTACAGTGCTTCTGTTCAGCTATGACGCGACACAGTGCATACTGAGCTGGGAAGATAAGTACTGAGAACAGGTGCATTTGTAACACGACAATAAACGACTGAAAGCCCCCAACAATTTTGAAAAATGTTACGTCTTATCATGTCATGCTGCTTTTCTAGCTCGTTGCTAGGCGGGAAGAATCAATGAGCATTTGCTATGGCTAAAAACAATGAAAGCACGACGTGCTGTTCTGCCCACAATGCCAGCCATAATTCCCGTCGGAATTCATCGTCATTGCCGGAGGAGTTGATCAACAGTTATCCCATTCATCACATCAGCATATCTTCTCAACATTCGAATTCCATCGTTTCAATGACGCGTCTTAAACAATGTCTATGCGTTTCTTTGCGTACATTGCTACGACTGGCGCAAAGATAAAGTGGCACAAAGGAGAGCATCGCACTGGGGGCTGTGTACGCACCCCTGGTTAGGATGGGAGCTCCGCAGTCCTTCAGAATGTTCAGCACGTCCGTTAGGATCTTCTCCAGCGCGGTGTCGATGTCGGTGTGTCCGTGCTCGGCCGACTCGATGTCCTTGATGAGCGTGTCAATGTCAGCCTCAGCAGCCTTGATCTGGTCATCAGTCAGACCCAGCACCGGCCCCAGAGACTCGAGCAGCTTGTCCAAAAGACCCTCCAGCTGAGCCAACAGACCGTCCAGACCGGTCGGCGTGTCGTCAGCTGTAGACAGAGAACATGCAGCTAACGTATGGGGTCATACGTTTTGCCAAGACCGTGGACCTATTTGTTGAACTCTGCATTCGCAACCTGTGTTTAGGCACACAGCGTGCACTAAGGATCATGGCTTTGGAATCTCTCCGCCCTTTGATGTAATCGTCGAGCCTGATGTGTGTCGCTATAGATTTCAAGCACCTGTGACCCAATACTTACTGGGGTTGGTGTGGTCTATACCGAGGGCCCTCAGGATCTCGATGATGTCGGTAACCATGCTCTCGATTCCAGTGGAGATGTCAACGGTGCCGTGCTCCAGAGCCTCGACGTCGGCTACAAACTTGTCAAAGTTGGAGACGATGGCTCGACCTGATCCTGGGTCAGACCAATAATACGGGTCCGAGGATCGGCAGATACTTGTCCACGAGAGCTTGCAACTGCTCCAGAATCTTGTCAATGGGGCTCGGATCAGCTGCAAAGGGCAAGAAGAGAGAGAGAAGAGAGAGAGAGAGAGAGAGAGAGAGAGAGAGAGATAGAGAGAGAGCAGAGAGAGAGAGAAGATGAGAGAGTAGAGAGAGAGAGAGGGAGAGAAGAGAGAAAAGAGAGAGAGAGAGAGAGAGAGAGAGAGAGAGAGAGAGAGGAGAGGAAGAGAGAGAGAAGAGAAGAGAGAGAGAGAGCGAAGAGCGAAGAGAGAGAGAGAGAAGAGAAGAGAGAGAGAGAGAGAGATAAGATAGAGAGAGAGAGAGAGATAGAGAGAAGATGAGAGAGAGAAAGAGAGCTCTGCTAGAGAGAGAGAGAGAGAAGAGAGAGCGAGAGAGAGAGAGAGAGAGAGAGGAGAGAGGAGAGAGAGAGAGAGTAAATGTACGGCCCAGGAACATGCTACGTTCCATACCCAAAAGAATGTGTTTTTAAGAGCAATACACTCTTTTCTGGTTGATAAACACCTAATTACTGAACACTGCGAAACCAAGGCACATGTCTCTCATTGCTAATGAATGTATTGCAAAGCAAATGATTAAATGTATGCATAAAGAATAACAACAATAGAAAATGAGAAAGGAATATAAATAAATGTTAATAAAATGGTGAAATGTAATCATAACAAGAAACTGATGTTACGTCAACTTTGACATATTCACTATGATCCTGCACCAGCAAGGTGACTGGCGGTACCTAACCAAAGCACTCAACGAGCTTTTATCTCATACAGAAGCCTGACTTTGTGAAAGCCTTTAAACATCTGCCAGATAAACCGGCATTCCTCTCGAGATTTTAAGCTGCTACGAACATAGCCACCGTGAACGACGTCCTGTGCATATCCGAGTATGAAGCGCATCGCACAAACGGCTTTGAAATAATAATGACACGAGTAGAAATTCAAGCACATGTAAACAAGTAGCACAATTTAAAAGTCGGTGGGCAAAGTTCGTAAAAGCCTAAGTTTTCGTACTAACTTGTAGTGAAGTCAAGAAACACTTGAGGGTTGTTAGTTCCGGACTTATGGTCCCAAACACCTGAAAGCTAACATCTTTTCGTCGCCATTGCAATACTCAAGGATTTGGAGATACATAAGCGATTAGAGCAACGCAGGTCTCATGCATATTAACCTCAGTATTTGTGTGTGTTATCTCATGATGGCAGTGTTTGTTCACGAAGGTAATGTAAAATGGGTAGTGCTAACAATATGCGTACTGCTAGAAAGGATGGGAGCTCCGCAGTCCTTCAGAATGTTGAGCACGTCCGTCAGGATCTTCTCCAGCGCGGTGTCGATGTCGGTGTGTCCGTGCTCGGCCGACTTGATGTCCTTGATGAGCATGTCAATGTCAGCCTCAGCAGCCTTGATCTGGTCATCACTCAGGCCCAGCACGGGTCCCAGAGACTCGAGCAGCTTGTCCAGAAGACCCTCCAGCTGAGTCAACAGACCGTCCAGACCGGTCGGTGTGTCGTCAGCTGTGGGCAAGGAATATGCAGCTGATGCGCTTCTTCCGATGAAAGTTCAAGTTTTACGATTCATGAGGCCTTTTCAGTCTATCTGTCTGTCTGTCAATGTCTTCGCTGCGCCCCGCGTGTGTAGAATTGCATTCTAATCAACTGTGCATAAGCCCGATATATTACTCACTGGGGTTAGTGTGGTCTATACCCAGGGCCCTCAGGATCTCGATGATGTCGGTAACCATGCTCTCGATTCCGGTGGAGATGTCAACGGTGCCGTGCTCCAGAGCCTCGACGTCGGCTACAAACTTGTCAAAGTTGGAGACGATCGCATCAACCTGCTCCTGGGTCAGACCGATGATCGGTCCCAGGATCGGCAGATACTTGTCCACGAGAGCTTGCAGCTGCTCCAGGATCTTGTCAATGGGGTTCGGATCAGCTGCAGAATATGGTAGCTTGGGTAAATACAACTCGTGTAGAGAATTTGCTCATGTTTACAATGTACCATAATCCTGCCATGAAAGTGTGATTGTTGCCCCAGCACAAATGCTGTTGTCATAGGTTTTTCTAAACAGTTGGTGGGGAAACCCATCTTCCTTAGGGTATCGGACAAAACGGAGCTCCAATTGCTGCACGGGAGGTGTTTTTGAAAAGCAAATGTTCCACCAATTTCCTGTTCCATGTGGCTTTCCTGACTGTTGCTTCCTGTTGGTGGCAAATAATATTAATGCCACTTGTCACCTTGTTTAGAATCAAAGTAATGCTAATCGGCAAGTGTTTGCATGATACACAAAACTCTTCGATAGATCTTTAGCTTTCAATTTGAAGCATGCGTACTGAGTTTTCGCATTGACATATAATTATGGGCCGCATTGTGTGAGCAGCTTATGATTGCGTTGCAAAACAAAGACAATTCATAGACAATCGAGTATCAATAGCCTTATTTCTCGTAGAATTAGCAGGAGACGGGAAATATGAATGTGTTATCCGTTTAACCACCTTTACCGGAAGTTTTTTTTTACTGGTTTCATGGAGCCACGTCGCCGAATTATCACATCTATCTCTCCATTCTCCTGTTAAGTATTCGCGAATAAGGCTTTTGATACTGTCTCATCTGTATGCATAATGTGCCTCGCAAATGTACTCAACAAATTACGTAAAGATAATTTACACATTTAGTTAAGTAGTTCAACTTAAAGGGAACTCCTAAGATTTTGCTGTCATTTCAAATTGAATTAACAGTCCGAGTGACTTATCATCTGAACACATCATTTGCTACCGCCCAATGCGCGTCACCAGCCCGACTACAATCATGATAACGTTCAAGTAATGCTGGCTGATGGGCAAAAGGAGCAGCTTCCTCACTTGTAGATGCAATACATCTTGATGGCAGTACTTATCACGTGTGTTTATCTAGTGTTCGTGTGTACTAATGGTCTGCTATTTACATACTGGTGGCGGTGTACTCACCCCTGGAAAGAATAGGAGCTCCGCAGTCCTTCAGAATGTTGAGCACGTCCGTCAGGATCTTCTCTAGCGCGGTGTCGATGTCGGTGTGTCCGTGCTCGGCCGACTCGATGTCCTTGATGAGCATGTCAATGTCAGCCTCAGCAGCCTTAATCTGGTCATCAGTCAGACCCAACACCGGCCCCAGAGACTCGAGCAGCTTGTCCAGAAGACCCTCCAGCTTTGTCAACAGACCGTCCAGACCGGTCGGTGTGTCGTCAGCTGTGGACAGAGAGGTGCGGATGTCATCATTGTATCATGCATTGGAGAAGCGATTTGTTTGAAATGATAATATGTGTTCAAAATGTTATAAGCTGAGTCGTGAACTCGCAAAGTGTGTTTGGAAAACAGACGGTTCACTTTGAATCATGAGTTTCCAATCTAGCTATGCCGCAATGTAGTCGTCAAGCCCGATGGGCGAATATCCATATTCGTAGCAGCTGTGCCCAAGCGCATTTAATACTCACTGGGGTTGGTGTGGTCTATGCCCAGGGCCTTCAGGATCTCGATCATGTCGGTAACCATGCTCTCGATTCCAGTGGAGATGTCAACGGTGCCGTGCTCCAGAGCCTCGACGTCGGCTACAAACTTGTCAAAGTTGGAGACGACCGCATCGACCTGTTCCTGGGTCAGACCGATGATCGGTCCGAGGATCGGTAGATACTTGTCCACGAGAGCTTGCAGCTGCTCCAGAATCTTGTCAATAGGGCTCGGATCAGCTGCAAAGTGTGATATTGGGTGTGCGTTTACTGTGTTGGAAGTGTTGTCTTTGTCCTTCGACAAACCGCCAACATTATGGGCTCCCTTAAATCCTGCCACCAGCTTTCCTCTGTTGCGTAACGTGGTGTATGGACTGTACACGATGTTCCTCCATCACACTCGTAGCATTGCAAGCAATGTACTTTCCCGGACAAAACGCTCACGATCCTGCAATATCGTAAAGCACACTAGCACAAAAGCCTATCTGTCATGATTCCTGCAGTTCAAGATTTGGAGACCCATGAGGCCAGTCGTGGCATGTAAATGTCAAGTGTAATGACGTCTGTTCTTTCGTATCTGGGTATCAAGTGATAGTGCCTATTCATGATTAGAATGTGGTGACCATACTGGTGACAGTTTACTCACCTGTGGAAAGAATAGGAGCTCCGCAGTCCTTCAGAATATTCAGCACGTCCGTCAGGATCTTCTCTAGCGCGGTGTCGATGTCGGTGTGTCCGTGTTCGGCCGACTCGATGTCCTTGATGAGCGTGTCAATGTCAGCCTCAGCAGCCTTAATCTGGTCATCAGTCAGACCCAACACCGGCCCCAGAGACTCGAGCAGCTTGTCCAGAAGACCCTCCAGCTTTGTCAACAGACCGTCCAGACCGGTCGGTGTGTCGTCAGCTGTGGACAGAGAGGTGCGGATGTCATCATTGTATCATGCATTGGAGAAGCGATTTGTTTGAAATGATAATATGTGTTTAAAATGCTATAAGCTGAGTCGTGAACTCGCAAAGTGTGTTTGGAAAACAGACGGTTCACTTTGAATCATGAGTTTCCAATCTAGCTATGCCGCAATGTAGTCGTCAAGCCCGATGGGCGAATATTCATATTCGTAGCAGCTGTGCCTAAGCGCATTTAATACTCACTGGGGTTGGTGTGGTCTATACCGAGGGCCCTCAGGATCTCGATGATGTCGGTAACCATGCTCTCGATTCCAGTGGAGATGTCAACGGTGCCGTGCTCCAGAGCCTCGACGTCGGCTACAAACTTGTCAAAGTTGGAGACGACCGCATCGACCTGTTCCTGGGTCAGACCGATGATCGGTCCGAGGATCGGTAGATACTTGTCCACGAGAGCTTGCAGCTGCTCCAGAATCTTGTCAATAGGGCTCGGATCAGCTGCAAAGTGTGATATTGGGTGTGCGTTTACTGTGTTGGAAGTGTTGTCTTTGTCCTTCGACAAACCGCCAACATTATGGGCTCTCCTAAATCCTGCCACCAGCTTTCCTCTGTTGCGTAACGTGGTGTATGGACTGTACACGATGTTCCTCCATCGCACTCGTAGCATTGCAAGCAATGTACTTTCCCGGACAAAACGCTCGCGATCCTGCAATATCGTAAAGCACACTGTAGCACAAAAGCCTATCTGTCATGATTTCTGCAGTCCAAGATTTGGAGACCCATGAGGCCAGTCGTGGCATGTAAATGTCAAGTGTAATGACGTCTGTTCTTGCGTATCTGGGTATCAAGTGATAGTGCCTATTCATGATTAGAATGTGGTGACCATACTGGTGACAGTTTACTCACCTGTGGAAAGAATAGGAGCTCCGCAGTCCTTCAGAATATTCAGCACGTCCGTCAGGATCTTCTCTAGCGCGGTGTCGATGTCGGTGTGTCCGTGCTCGGCCGACTCGATGTCCTTGATGAGCGTGTCAATGTCAGCCTCAGCAGCCTTAATCTGGTCATCAGTCAGACCCAACACCGGCCCCAGAGACTCGAGCAGCTTGTCCAGAAGACCCTCCAGCTTTGTCAACAGACCGTCCAGACCGGTCGGTGTGTCGTCAGCTGTGGACAGAGAGGTGCGGATGTCATCATTGTATCATGCATTGGAGAAGCGATTTGTTTGAAATGATAATATGTGTTTAAAATGCTATAAGCTGAGTCGTGAACTCGCAAAGTGTGTTTGGAAAACAGACGGTTCACTTTGAATCATGAGTTTCCAATCTAGCTATGCCGCAATGTAGTCGTCAAGCCCGATGGGCGAATATTCATATTCGTAGCAGCTGTGCCTAAGCGCATTTAATACTCACTGGGGTTGGTGTGGTCTATACCGAGGGCCCTCAGGATCTCGATGATGTCGGTAACCATGCTCTCGATTCCGGTGGAGATGTCAACGGTGCCGTGCTCCAGAGCCTCGACGTCGGCTACAAACTTGTCAAAGTTGGAGACGACCGCATCGACCTGTTCCTGGGTCAGACCGATGATCGGTCCGAGGATCGGTAGATACTTGTCCACGAGAGCTTGCAGCTGCTCCAGAATCTTGTCAATAGGGCTCGGATCAGCTGCAAAGTGTGATATTGGGTGTGCGTTTACTGTGTTGGAAGTGTTGTCTTTGTCCTTCGACAAACCGCCAACATTATGGGCTCCCTTAAATCCTGCCACCAGCTTTCCTCTGTTGCGTAACGTGGTGTATGGACTGTACACGATGTTCCTCCATCGCACTCGTAGCATTGCAAGCAATGTACTTTCCCGGACAAAACGCTCGCGATCCTGCAATATCGTAAAGCACACTGTAGCACAAAAGCCTATCTGTCATGATTTCTGCAGTCCAAGATTTGGAGACCCATGAGGCCAGTCGTGGCATGTAAATGTCAAGTGTAATGACGTCTGTTCTTGCGTATCTGGGTATCAAGTGATAGTGCCTATTCATGATTAGAATGTGGTGACCATACTGGTGACAGTCTACTCACCTGTGGAAAGAATAGGAGCTCCGCAGTCCTTCAGAATATTCAGCACGTCCGTCAGGATCTTCTCTAGCGCGGTGTCGATGTCGGTGTGTCCGTGTTCGGCCGACTCGATGTCCTTGATGAGCGTGCCAATGTCAGCCTCAGCAGCCTTAATCTGGTCATCAGTCAGACCCAACACCGGCCCCAGAGACTCGAGCAGCTTGTCCAGAAGACCCTCCAGCTTTGTCAACAGACCGTCCAGACCGGTCGGTGTGTCGTCAGCTGTGGACAGAGAGGTGCGGATGTCATCATTGTATCATGCATTGGAGAAGCGATTTGCTTGAAATGATAATATGTGTTCAAAATGTTATAAGCTGAGTCGTGAACTCGCAAAGTGTGTTTGGAAAACAGACGGTTCACTTTGAATCATGAGTTTCCAATCTAGCTATGCCGCAATGTAGTCGTCAAGCCCGATGGGCGAATATCCATATTCGTAGCAGCTGTGCCCAAGCGCATTTAATACTCACTGGGGTTGGTGTGGTCTATGCCCAGGGCCTTCAGGATCTCGATCATGTCGGTAACCATGCTCTCGATTCCAGTGGAGATGTCAACGGTGCCGTGCTCCAGAGCCTCGACGTCGGCTACAAACTTGTCAAAGTTGGAGACGACCGCATCGACCTGTTCCTGGGTCAGACCGATGATCGGTCCGAGGATCGGTAGATACTTGTCCACGAGAGCTTGCAGCTGCTCCAGAATCTTGTCAATAGGGCTCGGATCAGCTGCAAAGTGTGATATTGGGTGTGCGTTTACTGTGTTGGAAGTGTTGTCTTTGTCCTTCGACAAACCGCCAACATTATGGGCTCTCCTAAATCCTGCCACCAGCTTTCCTCTGTTGCGTAACGTGGTGTATGGACTGTACACGATGTTCCTCCATCACACTCGTAGCATTGCAAGCAATGTACTTTCCCGGACAAAACGCTCACGATCCTGCAATATCGTAAATCACACTGTAGCACAAAAGCCTATCTGTCATGATTCCTGCAGTTCAAGATTTGGAGACCCATGAGGCCAGTCGTGGCATGTAAATGTCAAGTGTAATGACGTCTGTTCTTGCGTATCTGGGTATCAAGCGATAGTGCCTATTCATGATTAGAATGTGGTGACCATACTGGTGACAGTTTACTCACCTGTGGAAAGAATAGGAGCTCCGCAGTCCTTCAGAATATTCAGCACGTCCGTCAGGATCTTCTCTAGCGCGGTGTCGATGTCGGTGTGTCCGTGTTCGGCCGACTCGATGTCCTTGATGAGCGTGTCAATGTCAGCCTCAGCAGCCTTAATCTGGTCATCAGTCAGACCCAACACCGGCCCCAGAGACTCGAGCAGCTTGTCCAGAAGACCCTCCAGCTTTGTCAACAGACCGTCCAGACCGGTCGGTGTGTCGTCAGCTGTGGACAGAGAGGTGCGGATGTCATCATTGTATCATGCATTGGAGAAGCGATTTGTTTGAAATGATAATATGTGTTTAAAATGCTATAAGCTGAGTCGTGAACTCGCAAAGTGTGTTTGGAAAACAGACGGTTCACTTTGAATCATGAGTTTCCAGTCCAGCTATGCCTCAACGTAGTCGTCAAGCCCGATGGGCGAATATCCATATTCGTAGCAGCTGTGCCTAAAGCGCATTTAATACTCACTGGGGTTGGTGTGGTCTATACCGAGGGCCCTCAGGATCTCGATGATGTCGGTAACCATGCTCTCGATTCCAGTGGAGATGTCAATGGTGCCGTGCTCCAGAGCCTCGACGTCGGCTACAAACTTGTCAAAGTTGGAGACGACCGCATCGACCTGTTCCTGGGTCAGACCGATGATCGGTCCGAGGATCGGTAGATACTTGTCTACGAGAGCTTGCAGCTGCTCCAGAATCTTGTCAATGGGGCTCGGGTCGGCTGCGGAAGATGGTAATGGGCGTGAATGGACTGTGTAAAGAAGTCATTGATGCATATACAAGAGCATATGTTTGCAGCACGACATCGGTTCTGCCGTGTCATGTTACCGCTTTGCAAACGCCGCTAAGTTGGGCTCTCCAAAATTTCCCACCAGCATCCAATTGTTTTACGATGTTGTACGTAAACGGTATGGCTTTTTTGCGCACCTAGCGTTGTATAGAATGCAATCCATGAGAAAGGCACCCCACTAGACTCAGGCACCCCGCATAGATCCTCACCGTTGCACTTGTTGATTGATGATGTCAAATTTATAACAACTCGAAAAATGGGCACTCTGCCAGATTTTAGCTTACTGTTAATAGAGCCTGTTGAGTGATTTGTTGTGCGTACGTCCATGCCTCGACCATATGGTACGAACAGTATTACATTAATATGTGGGCCAAGGAGCGATTTAATGGGTTGTAAAGGAGTTTGTATTGATCACAAAACCGCACTTTTCGTGTCTGTTTTTCAAACAATATTGCACCTACATGACTAGTTTGTGATATCCGTACTGGTGACAGTGTACGCACCCCTGGAAAGGATGGGAGCTCCGCAGTCCTTCAGAATGTTGAGCACGTCCGTCAGGATCTTCTCCAGCGCGGTGTCGATGTCGGTGTGTCCGTGCTCGGCCGACTCGATGTCCTTGATGAGCATGTCAATGTCAGCCTCAGCAGCCTTGATCTGGTCATCAGTCAGACCCAGCACCGGTCCCAAGGACTCGAGCCCCTTGTCCAGTAGGCTTTCCAGCTGAGTCAGCAGGCCGTCCAGACCGGTCGGCGTGTCGTCAGCTGCGGACAGAAAACATGCAGCTGATGTATATGGTTGGCTAGGAGCTTGGAGCTATTGGCTAGGTTGGCTAGGAGCTATCATATGGTTGGCTAGGAGCTTGGAACTATTTGCTGGACTCTACATTTGCTGTGCGTAAAAAAACTGTATAAAAAGTACAGTGTGCACTAACGACCATGACTTACGAATCTTTTCGTCGTTTGATGTCTCCGTCGAACCTGATGTGCGTCAATGTACATTTCAAGAAGTTGTGACCGAATACTTACTGGGGTTGGTGTGGTCTATGCCCAGAGCCCTCAGGATCTCAATGATGTCGGTAACCATGCTCTCGATTCCGGTGGAGATGTCAACGGTGCCGTGCTCCAGAGCCTCGACGTCGGCTACAAACTTGTCAAAGTTGGAGACGACCGCATCAACCTGTTCCTGGGTCAGACCGATGATCGGTCCCAGGATCGGCAGATACTTGTCTACGATGGCCCTCAGCTCCTCCAGGATTTTATCCACGGGGGTCGGGTCGGCTGCAAGAATGATTGTTGTCAACGCGCAGATGGTCGGACCGGCGCTTTGTCGGCCCCGTTGGGTATGGGAAAGGGAGCTGGTTATTGAAATATGGTCCCCTGCCCACCGCTTCTTGACGTGTTTGTGCATGAAAAGTTTGCCTACATGCGCTCGGGTGGGGCGTCAAAATGACCCCCTGCCCGAAGGTTTTTCCAAAATGGTTTTCGAAAGGCGCGACGTAGCCTCGCCATTTTGGCACAGCTGTAGAGAATTGAACAGCGGATCGTTCGATAGAATATTAGATGTACCATGTAAGGTCGCTGACCTATGGCGGGTCAAAGTCAGGCTATGGTTTCAGCGAAGGCAATTTCTAAAAAGTCGTTCAGTCTGATGCAACAACGGGGCGTTTTGACGAAGCCATGCATCTCTGAGATGCTTTCTTAGCCAATACAAGTATTGAATGAGCAAATAACGTTGATCTCAGGTCAGGTATGAAGGCCAAACCAAGGTCAAAACCAACCTGTTTTATTACTCCAGGGCTTGCTGTATAGGAAAAATTTATGGTGCTTATTTAGAATTTATTGGTAGCAGGAACCGCATTATACATCTTCTATTGACTTGTAAGAGGTCGTAATAGATTAATGACCTTAGATGACCCAGGTCGACATTTTTTAGGAGCATGCTGCCTAGCGTAATTTGTCTTGCTTATTCAAATGCAAAACTCAGAGCAGCCTGGCATGATTTTGTCACTTTGACCTTAAAAAAGGCAAGTAAGGTCCCTGACCTTAAATGAGCTTGTGATCTTTCGCTTAGAAACAGTTATCTAGGTTCCGGAGGCACTTTGGAGGCCAAGCTAGAATTTGACCTTGTTTAACCTTATTTTACCCGAAGGTTATGACTTAGGATTCTCAAACTTTGATCTAAGTGAGTTCACGTAAAGGTCAACACACCCTGCAAATTTGGCGTCTCTAGCTTTCCTAGTTCTTGAGATCTTAGGCGGGACAAATTGACCCCCACCCGAGAGAAGGGTATCTAGCCGGCCACCCGGGCGCGTGTTGGTAGAAACTTTAGTAGTGACTTATATCGCTGTAACGTGATGTAACATGTTGGTAAAGTTGTGTGATGTAACTGTATCAGCCCTCATGGTTACAACTGGATGTGAGAAGGTTTCCTGTTGTTGATCATTACCACTGTGTGGCAGGATGCTTCCAATACGTAGCAAAGCTAGCGTTTAGATTTCGTGCATACTGACAGAGCTAATACATTGCCGGGCCACGCGCCGCACTTGTCTCTACGAGACTAGTGGTTGGCTCTTCTTACCGTGTGATACACTGCGTAAATTGGGAAGTTTGATAAAAGCTCGTGATGTCAGCAGCGTCAGACATAGTCTGATAAACTAGCAAGGCGAGTGGCTCTATCCTCCGTGACGTCCTTGCTCTGTACTCACAGGTGGTTTCTATACAAGAAATGTTACCACGTTTTAAGCACCTGCTGACTACAAAGTCAAACTCACATTGACCCTGTCCATGTGCATCACAGGTGCAAGACATCAGTTCTGTGGTTCCGGCACGGAACAGTAACATTTGTAATAAAGGGTGTCTGGGCTGCGATTGCAAGGTGGTTCACCCTGCTTGGAAATGCTAGTGTGAAACAAAATCGTTGTAGCCGGTATTACGGTTGGTACCAGCCCTTCCATCCCGGTCTATGCCAGTGCTCTTGCATCTTTTTGCTCCCTGCATGCAATCGGTACTGGTTGGAAATGAAAAAAGGACATGTCCACCGCGCGTTAATATCAATTCTGAAACCGCCTCAACTAGCCGGAAACGGCTCAACGTACACCAAAACGTAGCCTCTTCCGAGGAATAGCGGCCCCTCGGCCTTCCGGAATCCGATGTACGTACTGGAGTCGCTGGACGCTAGGTGGTCGGTCGGTATGCCAAAGTCGCCCAAGATCTTGAGGATGTCGAGCAGGATGGCCTCCAGACCTCCGTCCACGTCAATCTGGCCGTCGCCCAGGGCACGGATGTCAGCCATCAGCACGTGAAGGTCGGCCTCCACCTGCTTGGTCTGGTCGTAGTCGAGCCCCATGAAGACGCCGACGATGTCGAGCACGGCGTTGAGCGCTTCCTCCAGCCAAAAGAGCACCTCGTCGAGTGTGGTCGGAGCGTCCGTGGCTGCCGTCAGAACCCAGGTTTAGCAACCAGGGCCATCCCATCTAGCATACGTGTCTGTGTCTGCATCACGCGGAAGAACGGGCCGGTCCGACCGAAACATTTCCGTTGAAGGGGCTTTCGCCCTGGCAGATGCCTTTCAGGCACGCTCTGAGACAGGATCCTTGATGTTTGGGAGCTTCCGACTTTGTCTGCGAATAGCCTGCTCCGAACGCTACCGCCGGACATTGAATTGGACTCTAGCCACTTATTTATGACCTACCCAGGCCAGCTGCATCCTTCGTCACATGCATCCTTTTACGGTAAACTCACAGGGAACTGTGACATCCACTCCGAAGGCCTCTAGAACATGTAGGATGTCGGTGCAGATGTCGATGACGCCGTCGGCGATCTCAATTGTGCCGTGCTCCATGCCCTCGATGTCGGCGACGAACTTGTCGAAATTGGTTATGATGGATTCGTACTCTTCTTTGGTGATGCCGATCGCCGGGCCGATAATTGGCATGTAGGTGTCCACGACGTGCTTCAGCTCCTCCAAGATCAAGTCGATGACCGACGGAGCCGCTGATGACATGCCGTTGCCGCTCAGTAATAAATTCATGCACCAAACAGATGATGATGATAGCATACGTTTTGGCAATTCCCTTGTGCACGTAGACCATCTCTGGTAGAGTATTCTTTATACGCTTGGTTAACCAAATGTTCAGTTGGTCTGGTTGCTGTAAACGATTTGGTGGTAATGCGGTGGGACCCTTAGCCCTTTGTGCACGAAACAAAAGCAAAAGTTTTCAAATTGTGCTACGCTACCAGACGGTAATACTGTAAGTATTTCAACTGACAGCTGTGTTCAGTCGCAGCCCTGCGATCATGCCCGTTTCCAAGGCTGTGTCTCGGTTACCTTCTACTAACAGCTCTCCTGTGATTATTGTCCATCCACTGCCGCTGTGGTGTTTTATCTCATAAACGAAATGGCCAGCTACCAGCTAAAGCCACGTCGACATGCAAAGTGGCGTTACCTGCGAATATGGCACGCTCACTCATTCGATACCAGACTTGAATAATGCACCAACAAAGTATGGTACTACCACATACTCTCCCTGCGTACTGGTAAGTACCTCAGCATTCCACTTACTGGTGCCCTGAACGTCGAAACTAAGGCTGGTCTGGATGCCGAATTCGTGCAGGATCTTGACGAGGTCCATCAGCACGGTCTCCAGACCGCCGTCCACGTCGACGTCGCCGTGCTCGATGGCCTCGATGTCCTTGATAAGGGTGTCGATGTCTGCCTCGGCGGCCTTGATCTGGTCGTCGGTCAGGCCCAGGATCGGGCCCAAAAGCCCGAGCACGGTATCCAGTGCAGATTCCAGCTGGGCCAACAAACCGTCGAGCGCGGTCGGCGTATCGTCAGCTGGAGACGAGTGGGGCGTGTGAGTGAACGTGACGCAGCGACACAGCGGTAGGATAGAGGAGAGTCTGCCTCCCGTTTGTTTACTCAGCCAAGCTTGCAAAACTGACATGTGTGATGTGTTAGAAACCAGTTTATAATTTATGGTCGTGTTATCGAATGCATGCGTTGAACATGCATTCCCGGGCAAATCTGGGCAAGGTACCTTAATCTGCCCACATGTAGAGCAGGTCTGGGTTATGAAAATCAGGAACATTGGATGTCTCCAAAGCTATGGACAGCTAGTGCCGCCTTCCAATACTCGCGCATAAGAATGCCACCGTGAAGCCAACTGCATTGTCCGAGGCAAGAAATACTTAAAGTGGACTGTCACTTAACAAACCACGTGGGTTACGCCTCCGCTCAGGTTGCGATACCGACCGTACTCACTAGGCGCATTGTAGTCAATACCGAGGATCTTCAGAATCTCGAGGATGTCAGTGATCATAGCTTCGAGGCCGTCGGTTGTTGGCACCTGGCCGTGCTCCAGCGCCTCCACGTCCGCCACGAACTTGTCGAACTGCTTGCGCGCCTCCAGAGCCTGCTTCTCCGTCAGGCCTATGATTGGCCCAAGGATGGGCAAGTACTTGTCCACCAACGACTGCAGCTCCTCCAGGATCTTGTCCAGAAAAGACACGGGCGCTGTAGAGTGGAGGATGCAAGTGAGGAGGGTTGTATGACAGTGGCGTTCTAATGAATTTTGGCCAGGCTGGAAAGGCTCATAAGTTTCTGAATTATTTGTGCCCCGATGAGTAAGGCGTTCCTGTCTCTTACCGTGGCCTAGCAAGTTTGGGGCTTTGTTTCGTGTTGACAACCTTAGAGGACTATTGGCCAGGGTATTCTCATACTGGCGTTGGTATCCACACATTGAAAGACATATTTCTGAAAGTTGTAGGTTTTTAAGCTGCGTTAATTTCGAAAGCGTTTTCGTCCTTTTCATTGCATGTGGGTGCAATTGGGTGCCATGTATGCAGACTTCTTACCTAAGACATGTGCCCCTCACATGAGCTCCACCCTCACCTCACTCATAGCGACTTTCACCCGCACTTACTGGTGACGTCCAGCTGCTCTCCATCCTGGACTGCGCCAGCTGGTGCAGCACAACGAGCACTTCGGAGAGCACGGCGTGCAGGGCCGGCCTCGACATCAGTGGTGCCTGCGGCAAGAGCGCGCAGTCCCTGCGCCGCCTCGTGAGCGGCGGTCACCAGAGCTTGGGCCGCCTCAGCCGACCCGTGCTGCTGCAGCAGGGTGTGTGCTTGCCACTCGGCCGCTGCTATGAGGCCGTGCAGGCGGCTGACGGCTGTGTCAGCGGGGTAGGGTTAGGGGGGACAGTGTCAGGGGACATGGAGCTGGCGCGGACGCGGTCAGCGGGGCAGGGTTAGGGGGGACAGTGTCAGGGACATGGAGCTGGCGCGGACGCGGTCAGCGGGGCAGGGTTAGGGGGGACAGTGTCAGGGACATGGAGCTGGCGCGGACGCGGTCAGCGGGGCAGGGTTAGGGGGGACAGTGTCAGGGGACATGGAGCTGGGCGCGGACGCGGTCAGCGGGGCAGGGTTAGGGGGACAGTGTCAGGGACATGGAGCTGGCGCGGACGCGGTCAGCGGGGCAGGGTTAGGGGGGACAGTGTCAGGGACATGGAGCTGGCGCGGACGCGGTCAGCGGGGCAGGGTTAGGGGGGACAGTGTCAGGGACATGGAGCTGGCGCGGACGCGGTCAGCGGGGCAGGGTTAGGGGGGACAGTGTCAGGGACATGGAGCTGGCGCGGACGCGGTCAGCGGGCAGGGTTAGGGGGGACAGTGTCAGGGACATGGAGCTGGCGCGGACGCGGTCAGCGGGGCAGGGTTAGGGGGGACAGTGTCAGGGACATGGAGCTGGCGCGGACGCGGTCAGCGGGGCAGGGTTAGGGGGACAGTGTCAGGGACATGGAGCTGGCGCGGACGCGGTCAGCGGGGCAGGGTTAGGGGGACAGTGTCAGGGACATGGAGCTGGCGCGGACGCGGTCAGCGGGGCAGGGTTAGGGGGACAGTGTCAGGGACATGGAGCTGGCGCGGACGCGGTCAGCGGGGCAGGGTTAGGGGGGACAGTGTCAGGGACATGAAGCTGGCGCGGACGCGGTCAGCGGGGCAGGGTTAGGGGGGACAGTGTCAGGGACATGGAGCTGGCGCGGACGCGGTCAGCGAGGCAGGGTTAGGGGGGACAGTGCCAGGTGTGTAGAACGGATCAAACCCCGTTTGGATACCTCCGAGAGGCAGTATTGGGGGCAAAACGTATGATGAAATGCAAATGCAAACTGCCTTTTAAAGCTGCCTGTGACGCTGCAGTCTGCAGTATCGCGATTGTTGTTACCAACGAAATCTAGTCCCAGGTTTGGGTGGCAGGCTGTCATGATGTTACACAGATAAACAGTGGCTACACTTTGTGTCTACCGTGAATGGGGAGATCTTGGATATTGGACTGTTATGCCGTGGAATCCAAAAACATGGGAGAGCAGTCTCCTCTTCAGTCTGCTTGTTGACCGTTGATTATTAAAAAAGGCCCTTATTGGAAGTATTTGAATGGCATCACCCCACGTGGCGAAATTATGAACCGAACCATATTCGCAGGTGCCGTTTGCCGACGGCATCCGTTTCACTCACTTTGGTCCTGCTTCTGGGTCTTCAGGCTCCGCATGCGTGACTCGATCAGGCGGACCGTGTCAAGCACTCCTCGCACATTCTTTTCGGCGTCGAGGGTCTGGCGGCTCGGGTACGGAACTGAAACTCAAAACCGACGAAGTCCAGTCCCAGTTCCGATTTAGGCTTGGAGATGTTTGGTTACGAATATCTCCACTTCATTTCCCAAGTTTTAATTGTTGAAATCCAACGGGTTCCCAGATGTTTTCAGCTGCCTATGTTTTCACTTCACTGCAAGCACACTGAAGCTACCCTATCCCTTCCCGCTATGGATTTGAGAGGAAAGTCAGTGTTCCGGCAAACATGTGCAGCATTCACCTCCGCGCTCCCCCTTACAAAAACCCTGTGTGGGACACTACACGTTATGCTATGTTCAGTGAAATCATATACACCATTGGTAAATAAGTTCAAGGCATCGAAGAAGCTATAAAACTTTTACGGACGGCACTTTTGGCCGCCACGAACAATCTGGCTTGGGTTAGTTTTCATCAATAATAGCCGACCTCCGTACATTTATTACGAGTACGGTCCATTGCTGGACTCCTAGGGACTTGGTCAGAACAACTATGTATTGCTGGCACGACACGTTGCATGGCAAGGACGGCCATCAGATGCACTGCTGAAGCCGACGAGAGATCACGTGCCACGTCTTGCTGTGCGTCCTCTTGTTCTCGACACCAGTCACTGCCGCGCTTCACTGGTGCCAACGCAACTTACGCGGCTTTCGTATCGTCGCCGACGACACGAGGACCACAAGGAGGGCTGCCGCGATCAGCCGCATCTTGGCTCCGCTGGTGGGTCAGAGTGGCAGAGTCGACCCCGACGCTGCTTATATGTGGGGGACGCTCACAGGTGGGCGCGTCCCACACGATGACCCTTATCAGTGTTGCAACTCCTGCCAAAGGGCTCAGCTGTGCTCTCACGGCGCGACATGGTCTGGCTGACTCAACAGCGATATGACTTCAATATGCAGTTGCCTTTGCTCGTGGTTTTTCCCTTGAAAGATCCATGGGCCTGCTGAGCTCCTTTCGTTGTTGGTGATTTGCTATCTGACGTATCGCAAATACTGACGTTAATTTTTTGCGATGGCTGTTTCCCCAATCGTGAAGAGATACGTGTCGTGGTAACGAATGCCTTTGTACACCCTGAATAGATGCATTCTGTCAGTGATTCCCGAGATGGATTCCCACTGCCTTGGTTGCTGAGATAAGCTTCCTATAAGAAATGAGGACCTTGTGTTCTTAGTTGTTCTGTGTGAAGGCCTGGCATGCTGAAAGTTTCTGATGCTCCTAAATGTAGGGGACTCCATTTAAAAGAGGATGTCGAACAGTCCTTGTGATATCTGAAGGAAATGCTCAATGTTTCGCTCCCTCGCGATCACGACTGCATCCTTACCATAGGCGCTGCTGAAAATGCTTGGAAGTTTCACGTGTTATCTCAGTGATCCCTTGGTATATTTGAAATCAGCTGCGTTCAGCATAGAACTAATTATTGCTGGGATGGCTAGGGCTTGTGGTAGTCTTGTCCAATTCTAAGGCTAAAATTGCGCAATTAGCCCCCGTTGACAATAGATGGAGAACTATTGAAAATATTCCTTGAACCATGCGCATAAGATTGATGTGACTGCAAACAGATGCGCTCAACGTTGCAAAGTAGTTTTTGCACTGTTTAAACGCTGCATTGAATGCGCACGCCATGTGGAAGAGCTATCAAATTCCAGCAACGGTACAGCCCGCCGAAAAAGAACAAACCATATTCTGTAAGCAGGTAAATGACAACTGGTGATTCTACAAGTGTACAATTCAAATGGCGTCTGGAGAAACAACCAACAGCAGAAATATTTTCCCAACACAAAGTGCCAGAGTAGGAACTGTCGACCTCCTCACCTCGCCGGGCATCACACTTCCCAATGCTCGCGAGAAAGAGAGGAGAGAGAGAGAGAAGAGAGAGAGAGAGAGAGAGAGAGAGAGAGAGAGAGAGAGAGAGAGAGAGAGAGAGAGAGAGAGAGAGAGAGGGGAGAGAGAAGGAGAGAGAGAGGGAGAGAGCGAGAGAGAGAAGGGAGAGAGAGAAAGAAAGAGAAGAGAGAAGAGAGAGAGAGAGAGAGAGAGAGAGAGGAGAGAGGGAGGAGCATGCGAGAGAAAGGGGATCAGATGCCAGCTAGAAGGCGATCAAAGAAACAAATCAGCCTAGACCAAGACAGCCACTGTCAACCCCAAAAATGTCATTTTCATATTCAAGGATTTGGCTCAGCTTTTCAATTGTATGGATTTGTTTACCTAAATCGAACGCTAGGCAGTAAACTCCGCGCAGGTCATCAAATTCCAGGTAGGATCTACATTTCAGGTAGATCACATAATTTGTGTGGGGAAATTTAGCGTGCTCGGCACGATCTTCCGTACTCTATAACATCAACAGACCTTTAAAACCCTGCCACCACCTGCCAACATCATCCGAGTCAGCGGAAGATGGAGAACGCTTAAAGCGACTCGAGCCCATCCAGCGTCGGGTGGGTAAATGTGAGCACAGAGGCTCTAACCGCATGAGCCACCAAGCACCGCATGAGCCACCACCATTTTTAAAATGATAACTCATTTTTTCAGTTGTGTTGCTCCCCACGATATTCTTTGTCTGCCCGTATTTGTTGGGGAAATGCAGGTTGTGCCTTCTTGTGAACTTCGATTTACGTAAATAGTAGAAGTGCCGCGATGAAAAGACGTAGTTCACCACAGCTACTGCGGGACGGGCAAATGAACAGACGCTTCGAACTGGTCACCTTAGGTCCTGCCACACGGTGTACTGACGTTCCTGGTGGCACCGCTGCTGCGGGACGGGCAAACGAACAGATGCTCCGAACTGGTCACCTTAGGTCCTGCCACATGGTGTACTGACGTTCCTGGTGGCACCGCTACTGCGGAGCGGGCGAATGAACAGACGCTCCGAACTGGTCACCTTAGGTCCTGCCACATGGTGTACTGACGTTCCTGGTGGCACCGCTCTTGCGCAGTTACCACGACTGAGGCCAGGCGATCGGCGGCGGTAGGCGGTGGCGGCGGCGGTCGCAAAAATTGCCCAAAATATCCCAATACCAAAATATCCAAAATATCCCACAGGTGAGATGAGCATTGCGTTCCTCGCGGGCGTTGTAATGTCATACCATGGTGAGGTGATTTCGCACGTTTTTGTGCTTATGCAGGATAAATGTGTGAAGGTAGATGTGCAGGGAGGCTTCTGCACAAGATCGTGGTAATGATGACTAGATATTGTTATGTCGGTTGTGTGCTGCAAAACACGCTTCAGTAATCAACTACCAGAACAACAGCATTAATTTCCTTTCTAGCAGTATAGATGGCGCCCAGCGCTGGGAATTGAATATTCATGTGCACACGCAGTTGGCATACAGGTACACCGCGCCTAAATCAAGAAAATAGGGCTGCGATTGACTTAAAGTGACTAGAAACCCGCAATAAGCGAGATTCGCCCTCAGATGCTTTCGGGTGCCGAATGCCCAATTTAGGAAGAAAAACGCCTTCGCTTTCATGTAAACAGACAAATGAGCCCATACCAGGGAGGTAGGGCAGCGCAGCGGCCCTACTTAAAGGACCATTCGAGTTTGATCAGTCCTGAGGACCCTGCGTGTCCAGTATCGGGCATGACTCGCCATGCATATGTTATTATAGTGGGAGGAAAACGAACATGGAAAATCATAGAAGATAGGATGTCTTGTAACCTCTGCCCAGGAATATCTTATGAACGAGAAATAAAGCGTAGCATTCGCGACCGGTTCAATTAACACCCTGGAAACGCAAGTGTACGTCAAGATTACACACCACTAGAGAAAAACATAGTATAATGACACGCAGCAGTAGAGAATAGCACAAGAAGAACAAACCATAAAACTGACATTCTAGCGACAGCTTAAGTCAGTACGAACTTCAAGACATTTGTAATTGCTCTCCGGGGCTCAACATGCAAACTATCTTGTAAATTGATTTGAGTAGGACTGTTTACATAATGGCGGTTCATAAATATCCTTTATATATATAGATACGTGCATATAATACATATATATAATGTTATATGCATAATGCATATATATATATAAATAAACATAAATTTAAAAAATTAGTTCTTATAATGAATTGCGACGACCTTTGACCATTTTTTTTTTGCATCTGTGGCTTGACATGGGCTACCAAAACCTTTCGGCGTAGCCAGCCATGTTTCGGGATCTCTTAGCAGCACCATGTATTGGATACTGATATGTCAGAGCCTGAACACTCGGAACGTTTGTCAGTTTATCGCAAGCATAGTTCGTTGCGCTGAGGGGCCTGATGTTTATAACTAATGCTTTGTAAGGTTAATTGAAACCTGTCAAATTAGTCGTTTGTGTTCATGGCAACCCTTAGGGGTAGCACGATAGCAAGGTTTTAGGACGTGGGAGCTTAAATGATGTGTTATGTTGAGGAGTTTGGCGGCAGCGTGCGCGAAATTCAGGTCATTCTTCGAATTCCTATGTACTAATGTTTAAATGTTATTTTTGCCTAACGCTTACTCCCTGACCATGGGCACAACTAGGAATGTGGAGCATTGACCAGTATAACTAATGTTTCCTTAATGGAGTCGTTGATAACTTCCATGTTATATATTATATATATATATAATATATATATATATACACAGCAATATCATATATATATATTATATATATACTATATATATATATACATATACATGTATATACGTATATGTGTACATATATATCTATATATATATATATATATATAGTATGTATGTATGTATGTATGTATATATACAATTATTATTAGAGATTAGAAAGCTCTTGATGCGGGGATCAATAATAAGAAAGCGCTCCTACATTCTTGAGAGGTTTTAAAGGTAGCCTTGCCCATGTTTGCATAACCAGTTAGGCATCATATAATGGGTATAACGTGCAATGTGTAGATCAGCTTTATACTTGAAAGCTGAAACTCCGAGATAAAGGCTAGAATCCTCTGCAGACGCGGCGACGGAGTGATCTTGAGGCACGAATTACGTGATATTTTTGTGAGTTTGTGTTCATCTCAACATGGAATACATACTCATAAAGCCACTTTCTAAGGTGTCACAAAGCGTATTAGGTTTGTGTTCGGTAACGCAATGGTGCAAATCGTAGCAGGTGAGGTCTGCGTGTTGTGGGGGCTACTGTTCAATGGGTTTACACAAACGTTGGGTGCCAATCTATGACAAGGAATGTGCAGAGAAGACGTACTATTTTTACGGCTCGTTTCATTGAAGGTCGAGGAAGTATATGCGTGTGTGCTTAACTGGCAACAAAGAGATGATTGTGGTGGAAAGGCTGCATGATATATGTATAGGGTTGTACATAAATATTTCCTTATACTGCGCAGCTCCGTTTCAGTTGCTCGCAGAGAGAACAGATGGTCACCCGCAGGGACAACCGGCTTCCGTCGGTGTAGGGGACTAGCGCCCCTCGGGTCCCAGCTTCGGTAACGGTTAGACAGCGCAAGCTGGTTCTCTCAGGGCGTAGCGACCCTGCCGGTACGTGAGCTCCTGCTCCTTGTCCGGCCCGCTCCCTCCACATTAACCCATTTTCCTGCATCTGGCCCGCTCATCACTCCTGATCCTCGTTTTATCGGGGTCGTCGTGCCCCCTCGCCCTCGTCCCCGGGTTGGTCGGATCTTGGTGGCTGAGGGGCGCGTCGTACTGGTCAGTACACGGCGCGTCCCAACACTCCACTTTGGCCAGGATATCCGGGGGCGCGGGGGCCCGTG